GCTCACACAAACTGGGGGAAAGCCTCAGACTGTTCCTTTGTGGGTTTCCACCCGAACGATAAAACGGGTTCCCAACTCGCCTCAAATAGGGATGATCTGAGGCATTGATCCCGAGGAGTGTTCCCCCTCGCGCCTCGGGGATGGAATCAGGGAACGAGAATACGAAGAAGAGATGCCAAGTAAAGAGGAATGGAAGCATCTGGTTGAACTTTTCGAACATGAAACCCCCGAAGAATTTTGATTGTGCCCCGACACCGCTCGAAGCTTCCACGTGGATTCTGAAGACAGTGCATTCATGCCTCTAACAACCCAGGTCAGTGCTTCAGTCCTCCTCGGGGAACCCATATTACAAGTTTCCGATCTGGCTGATGATTAGGAACCCCCTCGCACCTTGTACGAGGGAGCTTTTTCCTTACGAACGCGTTATCAGCAAACGGAACAGTATTTGGACGTTTCTATTTTTCCCCCCCGATCATTACTAACGACAGGAGTCATCATCGCCTTGATTAAACAAGAAGCGGAAGCACCAGTAAGTGACGTGCCGAATCTAATGCAAGAAATGACGGATCTAACATGGCTAACTGTGGAACCGACTTCGGTTGGTTCAGAGACTGACGCTGAAACTAAAGAAACGGAGATGATCAGCCCCGCTGAGTCCTAGATGATAGCAACCGTCTTCTCGGTTCGCACCAGTAGTCCCGTTTTCTCTAGTGTCGGTGAACGGCGGGAACAACCGATTGATTGGGTCGATATGCCCCTCAAAATTTTCGGGGAATCGGCAATCCCCCTCCTGAGTCACGTTCCTGCGGAACTTCGGAAGTCGTTAATCTGTGTATTGAATGGTTATGCAGAAGTACTGAGCGTGCATGACAATGATATTGGGTTAACTAATGTAACTGAACATGCCATTCTCACGGGAGATCATCCACCCATTAGCTGCGCTCCCTACCGATACTCGCGAGTTCAACGAGCGGCCGCCTTTCAGCGGATTAAGGAGTTCGAAGTTAATGGATGGATCGAACCCGCTATAGGACCATGTTCTTTTCATGTAGTAATAGTACCCAAGAAGGCTGGGGGGATTCACATTTGCATTGATTATCGAAAGTTGAATGATATCACGATTAAAGATGTGTATCCCCTCCCCCGGATTGATGAGTTATTGGATGCGATTGGGAGTGCTCGATTTTTTAGCAAGTTTGATGTTCGTCATGGGTTCCATCATCTTCTTGTTCGAGAGGATGATCGACCGAAAACAGCGTTTGTGCTTTTCGAAGGCACGTGGCAATGAATTCGATGTCCCATGGGTATCTGCAATGCCCCTGCGACTTTTCAACGAGCCATGAATATGGCCTTTCAGAACTTCGTACGGAAAACTCGTTTGGCGCAGAGCATCATCAACTACTGCGTGATTGTGTACATGGATGACATCTTGGTGTATTCGAGCTCCTACGGAGGACACGTGCAACACATCGAATGGGCACTGCATGCGTTACGAGATGCCAGTTTCAAGGTGGCGCTTGAGAAGAGTCATTTTTTCCTCACCACCATTTCCTTCCTGGGGCACGTGGTGACAGACAAGGGACTCCAACTGGAGCCGCAGAAGATGGCAGCTGTCAGGGACGCGCCAGTGCCTACCACTATCATGCAAGTTCGCGCTTTTCTGGGCCTAGCCTCGTATTACCGAAGATTTATCAAGGGCTTCGCGGCGATTGTGGGACCCCTCACAAATCTCCTGCGCAAGGATCGACCGTTGATCTGGACGCTGGAGTGCGATCAAGCGTTTTCCACACTCAAAGTTGGTCTCATTTCGGCTCCGGTCCTTATAAGACCGGATCCCGAAAAACCTTTGGTTCTCATCACTGACTGACAGCCAGAGGCGATTTCGGCGATCCTTGCCCAGGTGGGACCAAGCGGACTCGAGAGTGTGGTGGAGTATGCATCCAAATCAGTGTCCGCCTGCAAGCGCAACTACGCCGCTCCAACGGGTGAATGCTATGCGGCTCTCTGGGGAATCAGTCACTTTCGTTGCCCCTGTTGGCTCTGAAGAAGTCGAAGGATTACTCGGGCATGATTGGGCGATGGGTAACGGTGCTGCAGAGCATGGACTTTGACATCCGTCATCGGAAGCACGAGAGACATGGGAATGCGGATGGATTGACACGATTGCACTGGCCTGAGAAAGTTCCAAGGAATGAGGAGGTGATTCCGTGGAACGAACCCGAGCAGAAGATTGAACCTCGGTACGGCCAAGTGGAGATTTTGTCGAAGCAGTAAGTGACACGAGGACTAATTTGCCTGCTCCACTCTCTCCACAATTCAGTCCCGTCTCTCCCCTTTTGTCATCATGACTACCCCGCCTGCCTTCACAACCCCTTCTTCTCCTACTAATTCTGCCCCGCTTACTTCCTCAGCTTTCTTTGCCACCCTCCCCGATAAATTCTGTTATTTTTGCACGTGCATTGCACGGGTTTATGGGGTCGACTGTCATCCCTTCGAGACTGGGTTTCTCGATTGGGTAGAATGTGCCACGTGTGTCAATCGTGCACACGGGGCCTGTGTACGATATCGAACGAATAACAAGGAATGGAAGTGCCCCTTATGTAGAACGAACAAGTTCCCCACGGAGGTTCGATTCGAGGCCGCCCGTACAGACGACCCTGAATATGACGAAACATACCGACGAGCGGAAGTAAGGACAGATAAAATTTTATTGGCGAAATTAGCAGGGTTATCGTTGGGTCACCTCACCAAACACGACAGACGTAGGGCAACCGAGAGATCTCGGGATTATCGATGGATCAATGGTCATTTGGAAAAGCGTAAAACTGACGGATCGGGTTCGTGGTTGACGGTTCCTCATCCATTCCAGAGATATGATTGGATCCGATCTGCTCACGAGGAACAGGCCACTCATTTCGTGATACGAGTCACGGAGGCAACTGTAGACCAGAACCGATGGTTCTAGTCCAATAAACGAGATGATGTCAAATACATTGTCGCTAATTGTCTGGTCTGTGCCGCTGATCGCGCCCCCATACGGGGACCAAACACGATCGTACCAACGGAAGTAGAGCGTCCTTTCCAGCGAGTCAGTATGGACACAACCGATATTGACGTGCCACCTGGCCCAAACCGCTGTGGCTGTGAATATTATATTTTATTAGTATTAATTGACCACTTTTCTAAGTATATCGAAGTCTATCCCTGTAAGACCCGAAAGGCCGCAGAAATAGCCACGTACATCGAACGGTTCCTCTATACCCATCTAGACACGGAAGAAATTCTAACCGACAATGAATCTGAATTTAAAGGTAAGGTAGAAGAACTACTTGCGCGAAGGGGCATCACGCTTCGACATACGAGAGAAGGTTAACCGACCCCCAATTTTTCAGGTCAATGTATAAGAAAACCATAAGGCCATTTTCAACCAAACTCCACACCAATGTATAGAGTGCACTTCTTACTAACATATTGAAAAAAAAAAAAAAAAAAAAAAAAAAAAAAAAAAAAAAAAAACCCCACATAAAACAGCAACCCAAAAGTGCATTTTCAGGCAATTTTGGCATAAAACACGTCATCCAAATTTCAGGATTTTCAGGCCTCCCAACAGCACAAATTCTAATAACCCAAATAATACCAAATTTGGCAGACAGCAACCTTAAACCAAAACAAAAACAGGCAAAAAACCAAAAATTTGACCCACAAACCCTAATTTCAGTTTTGGTCCAATTAGTCAGGAGTTGAAAATGGAGGTCCCCGTTAACCATTTGTGAGCTTCGAACTAATAGCCTCCCCTGTGTCGATTACCGGGGTAACTCGGAAATTGCCAAAGCAGGGGGTAGAGACACGCGTGCCGCCCTCAAAGCCAAAGCCAAGAGGTACGCCGACTTAATGGAACGGGCCGTTCCGAAGCTAGTTCCGAAAAGGCAAAGGATGACCGAATTGGCCCACGGTAGACAAGTCCGCAGCTATGAGGCTCGGAACGGGAATGCTGGGCCCCAGTACCAATATAAATTAGGGGACCTAGTGCAGGTACGTAAATGTGCACGAGATCGGAAACTCGCTCCCAAATTCTCTGGCTGTTTTCGCATTGTCGAACTTGGACCCAACGGCGCCAACACGGTGCGCATCGCGCCTGAGGCTAGCTCCAGTCATAGCTCTGTCACCATCGTCCGACATACCTCCTACCTCTGTCTCCTTCCTCCTTCCGATCTTCCTCCCTCTTCTCCTTCGGAAAGCGAAGAAAACAACGACGATCTAACCCTCTCTCCTCTCTCTCCCTCTTGTCCCTCGTCCTCCTCTCCAACCTCGCCATGAGTTTTATCACGGAGCGGGTTCTTGACTTACAACTGCGGCAGCCACGCGGCTACATCTCATAAATTCGGCAAGTTTGTCACCCTCGGCTCAATACGGATCTTCGCCGTTTGATGCGATTCTTCTGCGACGAAGGTATCTGTGCCGCTGCCCCGTTTCGGATAGAAGGAAGCCCTCACGCGATAGTATTCGCGGAGGTTACTGTAGTTCATTGGCGAGCGGGTCCCAGAACGAGCCACATCACCACAGTGGCGGGATTCACCGACGACATTAGCTCGGTCAATCAGCTGAGGCATACCGAGATCTTGGCCTCGCTGCGTGAGTGGACGGAGCAAGTGTCCAACGTGTGGCGGCACGTCCTCGCCCGCGAAGGGTATAACATCATTCCGATCTCTCCATCGGATCTTGACGGTATTCGTCGATCACCGTGCGAGCGGCCTGTTGTGATTCCTACCATCGTTCCCTTCCCCCGTCCTCAAACGCTCCTCTCTCTATCTTTGGTCTCCCTTCTCTCTTCCCCACCTCTTGGCAATCCGATCTTCACCCTTCTCTCTCCTTCTCGTTCGAGCCTCTTTCGGTCCCTTTTATCAACCCTGGACATTGGCGGCTGTGGCGCGAAACTTTCGAGGAGCTGTCCTTCTGCTTGGCCCGAGTACAAGTGAAGTGGACGGGCACTATCGAGTATCCCACGTGGATCGAGAACCCGGAGCTGATGATCATACAGGGTTGGAGGACTAACGCGGAAGGAGATCTTATTGGATTCCTCTTTGGATCGGTGCAACCGGGTCGCCGTCAGTTGATTGCACAGGAGCTCATCGCACCGATCGTGCAATTGGCGGACGATCTCTCGCCCGACATCTACTTTCAGAGTGACAACAGTCCTGCTCCGTACATTTTCGAGCGATCCTTGGATCCGTACCTTCAGTGGACTTCGTGCTTGGAGGAACCAAGGGACGAGGATACACTACCATCGCGGCAAAAGTATCTGAAGCCGTACAAGATCCCTTACGCCTTCTACCCGAGGGCAGAAGAAGTGGTGATCAACGACAACGACGACGAAGAAGAAGGCGACGACAAGGAAACATCGGAGGAGGGAAGCTATAATGAACATAGCGAGGGCGAGCTGAGTGAAGAGGAAGAAGAAGAAGCCGGATCCGAGCGGGAAGCCCCGCCGGAAGAAGCAACGCGTACGGGAACGGAGGCGGAAGATCGGGAAGCGGCACGAAAACGCGAAGAAATTGCCTCCGGAAAGCGCCAGCTGGAGTTCGCCAGCAAAGCTAGCCTGCGCGTTGGTAACGATCCGACCCGGGGACCAGAGCCGCCGAAGCCCGAAGATGGCGACCCTGCAACCACCACCTAAAGTACCGCGCGACGGAGACGGCGCCGATCCCCCTCCTCCTCCAGCCTCACCCATCCCCCAGTTCGCCCACGTACCGATGCGGGCGATAGGCCTTCGTCCTCGGACACTGTCCCGCCGGCCCCTTGATTTCCTCACCCTCGAATAGATCCGTACCCCCGTCACCTTCCCTTCCCACCCTTTCCATCCCCATCTCTTCCGTGACTTCTACTCTACCCGTTTACTCGCCATCGTCCACCCCCACGCCTCCCTTCGGTCCGCTGCTCCCACATTCTGCTGGCATTTCCTGCTGTTCAGCGCTGCATGGGAGCAAAGCAACGTCGTAGAAGTCTACTGCCTTGCCACAGGGACAATCCCCGCCTGTCGCCACTTCGAGAACTTTCGAGCGGCGCTTTTCCACACCCTCTCCTCCTTCTATCGCGAATACCTCGCTTCCCTCCCCCGCACTGGCGATCACTTCCCCCGCTTCCTTCGAATCATCCGATACGAGGAGCTCCCAGTGACGATGGAAGGGATGAATCACTTCCTACCCCCACTCCCTCCCCGTCATCCCCGCGAGATCCCCAGTATGTACCGCCTCTACTGGCCCATTCCAACTAGGCGGTGGTAGATCCCATTCGCTTGCCCCCCCCCCCCCCCCCTCCTCCCTTCATCGGCCCAAATCAGTAAGCTTTGCGAAGATCACGCCATCGACGATGATGTCAACCTACGTGCTGATTCGACGGACTGCAACGAGCAGGGGTGTTGAGCACACGGAGATCGGGTGGACCATGATGGCGTCACCTGGCCGATCTCCACGAGGCAGAGGGCTGCATATGACGGGGCTCCGGAGACCTTGCCACGGATGTTGTCGCCATCTCATCCGCGGCTTAGTTATCGTTCCTTGTACTTCTTTCGGAAGCTCTGTTGATATGATTGGTTCCTCATGCATCACTTTGTTCTTTCCTTTTCTCTCTCCTTCTCCGCCATAACATGCAATCAGGAGATCGCATAATTTTGGAACCCCCTGCGCGTCACATATGTGATGAACCACTTCCCGACCCCGTGCCATTTTTCATACCCTTTCTTTTGCTTGTATCACACCAACCCCAGGAAAACCCCGTTTCGAGTTCTTGTTTTCGGAGGTCGCATTTTCCTTTTTCTGAGAGCTTTTTCGACTTCTGAGTTCTGTTTTTCTTTTTGCAAGACGGGAAATACATGAGAATCTACGTGCGCCTTAGCGAGCGCACTGGGAATTGGGCTCGGCAGTTAGGAATTCTGGGATAAGCGGAACTTCGATGTGTCCTTTTTGGGTGTGTAAATGTTCTTGGGTGCGTCGGGGAAAACTTTCGGAATTTCATCCGGACACGAATGGGCGTAGGATTTTCTTTTCCCGCGTCGCTTTTTCGCGCGCGGATATGGTGATTTCAATTTTGAATTAGGAGCCAACTGTAACTGTTTCGGTGCCTTTTTCTTTTTTTGTTGACGGCGTCGTGCATGCAAAAGCTTCTTCCTCTCTGTCCCCCGCATCGCCCCCTCCCGCGCCTCCCTTCCCTTCTCCCTCCTTTTTCTCTCTCCCCGTAACTGTTTTTCCTTCTCCCTCTCTCTCTCCCGCCCTGCTTTCGAGCGCCCATTTCCCTTTCTCGATCATCTGAATCTTGGACCTGTCTTGCACCACCTCTCGCGCCTTTTCTCTTCTCACCCTCTGAGTCGGGCGTACGACGCCCAATCGATCCCCCGATAACTCCCGCTCGCCAATCAGGTGCGTGGATCGATAGGACCTACCTATCGCGCGACGGATCTGATTGGTTGAACTTTGAGTTCCGAGGGATCAACATGGCGTTCTCGGAGCGCTCTTCTCAAAGTCTTCTCCTCCTTCTCCTCCTACACCCCCGCCTTCCCGACGTTCTCTCTCCCTTCTATCTCCTTTCTCGCAACTATAAAACCCGCAAGCGCGCCCGCAAATCTTTCTTACGTTCTTGACTCCTAAGCCAACTTTCGGGAAGCAGCGGCTAGGCAGAGTGGATTGATGCGAGTCGGAAAGTCCTGTCGGGCTGATGATAGGCTGGCCGGTTGCGCGCTTGATCACCACGACGGACTGTGGGATCCGGGCGAACCGTGTCGAGTTTACGATAGCGGGGTGACGATCACAGTGGTGGGAGTTAGCACGCGACGGCCGGGATCGTCGGTGCGGGTATGAGATTCGATGATTGGAGTTGAGTGAGTGAATGGCCCGGGGCCATAGTGGAATTAACGGCGAATGCGCCTTTGTTGCGGATCGTTATCCTTGGCATGAGTGTAAGGCGGCGACGCCGAACTTTTCTCTTTTCGGACCTTGTCGTCTTCTATTTTGACTCTCTCTCTCTCTCTCTCTCTCTCTCTCTCTCTCTCTCTCTCTCTCTCTCTCT